ATTATTATATATTTTTGTTACTTTTTAAGAAAAATGGTTTTATGTGAAATATCAGTATTTAATAGAACTTATTAAACAAGAATTTTATTTTTTTATATCTTATATCTTTTTATATTTTTATTAAAGAAGATTAAAGAAATATCAAATGATTAAAAAATACTATATTTATATTAGAAAATTATTCAGAAAAAAAGACATTTGAATAATTCTAATTTTAAAAATTAAGATATTTTAATGATCTTTTATATGATTTTTAACATTTTTATGCACAGAATAATAAGATAAATAGTTATATAGATTTATTATATACAAGTAAATATTCTTTTTGAAAATAATTTGAATGTATTTTTTCTTGATTGATTTATTTTATTATTTTGTAGAAAATTAATCAAGAAATTCATAACCATTAAATTAATTAAGATTATTAAAATTATAAAATAAGTATTTACAAGATATATATCTTATATTTTGTCACAATGTCATAATGAAATATGAAATATAAGAAAACTTATTACAATAATTTTTTTCATATAAATGTCTTAATATTTTTTTGTTAAATGTTAAATTTTTTCAATTTTTGTTAAAAAAATGTTCTTTTAAAAAATTTTAGATTATCTTGATATTTCAAGAAATTTATTACATAAAAAAGTTAAATGGAATATCACTAAATTTCTTCAATATATATTTCATAAAATATAGTTTTTCCTGTAATCAAGAAATAATACATATTTTATTTCAAGTAGAAATAATGAGATTGTTATTGATTTATCTTACATAGGATGTGCTATTTAAATGACACACTCATAAACTAATAATTCATAAACTATTTTTATTGAGAAAAATGTTTGACAAAGTTTCAGGGTTTTAAGTTGAACATAATTGTTCTAATAATTATTTGATCTTGAATATCATGATTTTACAAGATCATCTTTAATTTTTTAAATATAATTTTTTTCTCTTTCCAAAACTTTAATAGTTATACTAACAATTATTACTTTAGAAATTATTTTATTCTGATGTTTTGACATAAAACATCAATACAAAATATTTTGTAAAATATTCATTTTTCTATTATATAATATTTTTATGTACTACAAAATAATGAGATAAATGTCACAAAGCATAGTTATTTTCAAAAAATATAATAATGTATAAAATATAATAATGGGCATTGCAAACATTATTTTTTTTTTAATAGTTTATATATTATTTTTTAAAGTGATTACATATTTTTGTTACATACGCGCGCGCGCGCGCGCACACACACGACCCCCACACACACACACACACACACACACACACACACACACACACACACACACACACAATAA